TTCTCCTCCCACTCTACCATATGATAAAATATACAGCTATAGCTAACTTCTAACTGGGACATTTTTATCAAGTAAGTTTAAGTTTGTAGGCCATGGATTCCTGATAACTGGTGGTATTTTTAGCAAAGGCAAAATTAAGATTTTTCTCCATCATTCTTCACTCAGATTCCATGCATCTCTGCTATGGTTTTTGGTATCACTAATTCCTCCATATGTTAATAGTACTTTGCCTAAGGTATCTGCTCTAAGAACTAAAGATTGTCTTGTTTTCTAAATGTGGTGTGACACCTTTGGCTTAATCTTGTGTGTCTTAACAATTCACTGGACTTAACTAAAAGTCAGCAATGCTGAGATCCTATGGAACTAACACTCATTCCAGTGAGAGACTGTCCAAGCATCGCTGCTGAAGGAGTGCCTCCTCTTTGAGGGATCAGGACTCCATCTGGTTGAGACAGAAGAATATAGGATAATGGAGAAACATTTTAGTCATTAACTTGAAGATTCTAAACTTTAATTTATTTGGACTCATTCTAAAGAGGAAGATAATGACTGCAGACTTTAATTCCTTTGTACTCCAGTTTCTTTTGACTTTCACATAAGAGGATTTCACTTTTGTACTTGAGTTTTTCTGGAGGGAAATTTCAATGGAATAAATTTTATATTCAAAGGTGGGGAACCTCGCTATTGTTAGAATTTTATTATTTAAATTATCTTATGTATTTTATTATCAAATAGTGTGTCATTTAATCTTACTGTGGAATCTCTGATAGATTCTGTTTGATAATATGATGAACATAGTTTGGGAAGGTAAAAAGAATGAATTATTTTTCAGTACTGGATATAGAGTGATCTTGGAGTTGATTTAATTAATATACTATTTGTATCCATTTTGCAAGCTCCTGGGGACAAAAGTTAGATGTCCCACTTGAGAGACAGGGTGGACCAGAGCGAACCAGATTTGGGGCAAAATCCATATGTTCATCTTAGAAAAATGATTATATACAATGAGTTTAAGCTATAAAGATGTGGGGGATTAGCATGGGGATTCTTCTTTTCTAACCCTTAATGTTAGTTCTTTGTGGAGTAGAATTATAATCTTTGCTTCACTCCACCCCTCACTCCTATCATGTAGTAACAATTGTTCAGTTTTGGAGAATTTTGGATGAGATTATTGAATTTAAAATGCATAGCTCATCCCCTTCTCCACTCCTTTTTTGGTGCTAACTATAAGAAGAAAGCATGTCATTCTGTTCTCCCATCTACATTGTAAATTTTATAGGAAAGTTCCCATAGGTTAGACCTGATATAGTTTGTTGTTTCCTGTGAATGAGCACAGAATCTATTTCTGGTGTTTTGTTTTGGGATGTCCTCTTGCCTATGAATATGTCACATTCTCCAATATTAACTTCATCAGCAATAGGGTAACTTGGTCATCTGTCTAAAAGAAACACTTTTTCTCAGCTAACCTGAATTTGAATGAAGAAAACATTTAATTGAATACACCCACTCTGAAATCCTAAGGCTATAATAGATTATTGTATTTTGTTTCTTTACTGAAAAAAAAAGTCAAGACAATTTGTCACTTCTCAGAACATCTCACTGAGCACAATGGGAAAGAAAATTATCACCCATATGATTATTATAGTCAAAAAACACACTAACTAGAAAATAAAAATGTTCTCAATTTGAGGGAATGGAAACTACTTAAGAGTACCTATAAGTTGGAAATTATTTCAGCAGTGCTTCAGGTATCTTCATCACTGACGACTGGCAATAGACTGTTTTAGCTTCATGAAGCTGCCATTGATACAGTTAATCCATTCACTATGTGATAGAATGTTTGTTATCCACATTTCCAGCACATTAATGTCTCGAATACAACATGGGTTCTTACAGCCATTCCTGGCCTAGAAATCGGTGAGTACTGTGTGTCAAACACTCTTGACATCTCTGGGTTCTGGAAGCAGAAGAAATACTCACTTCCCAGGAAGTAGATTTGAGTTCAGTCAGGGCCAAGTAACTTATACTCTATTTCCAAACACAGATAAAGGCATCTTGTAGGTTCTTTGTTCCACATGGAATTAAATGGATACCCTAAACATGTTGGCATCTCTATTTTGAAAAAAAGTTTATCCTAGAGAGAAGATTATGAAGAATATGCTACATATCCTGAAGTATTTTTAAGAAGTTTGTGGAAAGCCCTCGTTCCAAGATGTCTCAGAAGACCAAGCAAAAATAAAAATGAGTGGAAATGACAGCTGGAATACATTGGTTTAACAACAAAATAATAACTTTCTAACAATTATGACTAACTTGTCATGAAATAAGCAACCTTCAGTAACAGTAAATTGCTTTGAATCTCATAGTGGTGTCCTTCAAAGGATTCACACTCAGTCTGCAAATTCAGACCAAGTCGAATTGAACTCTCAGAATCTATAATTCTTGGAAAGTTCTTTCCATAAGCAAAATGTAAGGAACTTTAAATACAATTTTTGAAAGAGAAAAATTTAATATATTTTATCTTATTATACATTTTCCCTAAATTACAAAGTCAATAGCTGCATATATATTCTGCTACAAAGCTTTCTGTAAGAAATATCTCTATAAGAAAATACATCTCATTAACATTTCCTGTAAATAAATTACTTCAAATAATACTTTTGAAAGGGAGAACATAGGGGAATTAATGCAGAAATCAGATTGCAAGTGCAATTTCCATATAAAAACGTTTGATGGAAATGTTTCATTTTTATGTCACCAAGCTTATAGTAACCAGTTTTTATAATCCTGGGTTCGTGGATAACTTTTTTTTGGCTTATAATTTTATTTTCTGAAGACATGCAAAAAAATGTAAATCTGAATCATCTTAAGAAGTATGTGTGGGAAGCTGAAATTATCAATAGATGTACAGGTTCAAATTCAATTTCTACTGGGAGAACTGCAGACGGGGACTGAGATTGCAGATGTGGATTAAGTAAAAGAAAATTAAGGAGTGAATTGTGTTGTCTATAAAAGTTTAAAGTAACAACTATCTTATCTTTTTTATTTGATGCTCTAGATATGATATTTAGAACTGAGTTAAGTAAAAAAAAGTAGTAAAGTGACTTCAAATAACTTAGAAACTGTAGTTTCTATAGATTAGTAATATGTAGATTTTATAAGTTACTTTATTTATATATTTTTAAACTTCAACGGCTGTAGAAAACAGAAACTATACCTTTGGAAATAAAACGACTGTTTCAGACAGAGAAGGTAAAAAAAAAACCAGATGATAGCCAGTCAGAAGATTATGGAGGGCAATGGAATCTACTATGCTCTCTTCCCTGGGAGTCCAGCTCATGAGACCTCCTCATATTAAAAATCATTTTAGGACTTCAACAATATAAGTATTTTAGGATAACAGAGCAAAGTTAACAAATCCCATGGCGATCTTTCACTTAGGTTGTGCAGTCTCTGGTTTCAAAGATGAAAAGTCAGTTTGTGCTGGTCTCGGTGGCTCAGCCTGTAATCCCGCGCCTTTGGGAGGCTGAGGTGAGTGGATTGCCTGAGCCTGCGGGTTCGA